TAGGCCAGGGTGTCCTGGGGGGTGGAAGGGTCAATCAATCACAGGATGGTTTAATTCACTCCCTCCCAAATGTTTGCAAGTTGACAATCCCGTCTTCATCTTTCTGAAACATTCTAAAAGCGTGAATGTAAGAAGATGGATAGGAAACCTGTTAACAGCATTATGCAATCAGAAACGTCAAGATGTTGGCCACAACCATGGGATCAAAGCTTGCCTATTATGTGATGTGATGAAAGCCCAGCCCTTTTCCTTGTTTACATTACTGTTGCCTCCATCTTGACTTTTTTTGACCCACCATGGGATCAAAGCTTGCCTATTATGTGATGTGATGAAAGCCCAGCCCTTTTCCTTGTTTACATTACTGTTGCCTACCATGGGATCAAAGCTTGCCTATTATGTGATGTGATGAAAGCCCAGCCCTTTTCCTTGTTTACATTACTGTTGCCTCCATCTTGACTTTTTTTGACCCTTTCCCTGTGGACACCCCTGCCAGTAGAATATGCCACACTTGGAACTGCTGACTGGAGAGAGGGGCAGCGCATACCAGCCTTGCCCTACCCATCCCATCCAAATTGCATTTTGAACCACAGAACTAGTTCACTCAATTGCACAGAGCTGTTGGAGGTTAGGCAGCATATAGGTGGTTGTTGTTATTGTTAGGTGGATAAAAATGCCAAATCCATTTTAAACATCTGGTAGACTGTGCAACCAACCATAATAATACTATCAGTCAATTTCAAAAGGCAGCTTTACTTGGAACAGCTTATATCCTGTGACGATACCTTTAACAGCATCAAACAACAACATCTGCCTTTCCCAGGACCTTGGGAAGGACTCGTTAGGTGGATAAAAATGCCAGATGCAGTCTAAACATCTTGCCAGCTGTGCAACCAACCACAATAATAATAAACCAGAGCTTATCTAAAACTACTGCAGACACACACACACCCAGGAACAGGATTGGTTTTGGTTCAAAGCAAACTCTTTTCCCACCTCATGCACACTCCTAATCAAGGCATGGTGTTTCTTTGACTTTCAGTGCTTGTACCTTTATGATTTTTTTTTCTTTAGTTAAATTGCTCAGAGATGTGAACTCTCTTCTACACTCCAAACCTCAAAATATTTTGTTCCAGGAAAAAAATACCAGAAAATGCCTCCTGTATTGAACATTCCTATGTATGTTGGGAGCACATTTCTTCTAAAATATCACTGAAACAAGCAACATCGTTTTCATTCCTTAATAATGATACATGTGGTGCAAATTATTTTTTTACTGCTTTTACAGAATATGCCCAGCTATTTGCTGCATTAATTGCAAGGACAGCTAAGGATATTGATGTTTTAATAGATTCTTTGCCCAGTGAAGAGTCCACAGCTACGTTACAGGTGAGAATTCACCATTCATACACTTTGTGTACTACTTGTACACAAGTATGCATTCCTGAAGCAGAATCAGAGTTTCAGAAAATCTTTGGATGACATGTAGTTTTTGTTTGGCTTAAGCATAAACTTATGCTTTACAACAGTACTGGCATTCAGTAAGAAGCCTGATTTGTTTCATTGCAGCCTAGGAAAACGTTACTTAGCTAATTACAGTAGACAGTTGAACCCCAAAAGCTAATAAATACTGAATGTATGACATAAATGGTATAAGTATCAGTTCAGTTTATATATTCTGAGTTTGACTTTCGGTAGGTGATCATTGTACACACTGAATACCATTTTACAGACAATCACATATATCACTAAATGTGACTAGATTAGATGAGGCTTCCAAGTACACATTTATGCTGCACGCTTATATTAAACAACTGCTTGCATCCAAAATTAGAATAGCGGAAATATTTATCTGGTTACTGTTAAGGAAATTCCAAACAGGAAGTAAAGATTTTGCCAGCATCTTAACACTTTGCAGAACAGTTATTTGAAGGTGATTGCAATATCTTGCAGAATTGCTTTAATCCTGATATTTAGCTAATCTGTTTGTTGTTATTGTTGTTTCAATCTAGAAATAAACTCTATTTCTATTTATTGCAACATTTATTTAACTGAAAACACTTCTATTCCACCTTTCTGTGAACATTAAAGAAACCAATAAAACAAGATTGTAGCATTAGCAGAAAGAACAAATGAACTCCCAAGCTACTCAGTGGGTACAAATCCGTGATGAAAAAAATCAATTAGATGAATTGAGTTTAAAAACAAAAACAATTACTAATATAGGAGCTTTAAAAACCTAAAGGACATACTTAAAAACATTTTGTCTTTCTGAATTATATAATATGCAGTATGGCAGAATGTTACATCATCAAAAAGTCACATGTGAAGAGTAAGAAGGAATAACTGTTTACCTTTCCCTCCTTAAAGGAGATACCCAGTGCAGTTTTAATGTATTCACCAAAAAGTTTTGTTTAACCTACTTTTTAACCTGTAGGCTGCAAATTTATACCGCTTGGAGGAAGAGAACCATGAGGCAGCTGCCCGCCTTGAAGAGGTGGTGTATCGTGGAGATCTGCTCTTGGAAAAGATACAGAGTGCCTTAGCTGACATTGCTCAGTCCCAGTTGAAGACACGGAGTGGCACCCGTAGCCAACCTCTCCCAGAGTAATTGTGGCATTTGGCAAGGCTTGACAGTGATGCCCATACCTCTGCAGATGTCAGAGGTGCAAAAGGAGAAGGAACACCTAACACAACTCACTCTTGAGCCTTCATCCCGTGTACTATTTATGAGACTCCAGTTATGGGATGCAATACAAGTCGCATCTTTTTTGTGATACTATGCTAGTATGAGAGACCATCGTGAACAGAAGATTTCTGGAATTTTCAGTTCCATGTATTTGTCACATCCAAGCCTTATACTTTGAGTGGTTTGTCAGTGGGCTAGAACGTACAGTCTCATGCAAAGATATCCTTGCGTCATCATCCCAACAAAGATGCAATGACTTTTATTGTTAACCTGCGTGGGGTAGAGAGGTTTGGATGTTTGTTTATTGCTGAATATTATCTAGAAGTACTGTAGAGGGGGAAGAAAGGCATTCCGGAAGCTGTTGAACCAGTGGCAACTTGTATACAACTTCACTTAGAAATGTAATTGTTACATACAATGATAATAGTATGGTCTGTTTTGAACCTAGAATGTGGAAAAGAGTTCTGGAGAATCAGGGGCTTTCCTGCCTTTTCCACATAGCAGATAACTGTGGCTAAATTCAAGACAATATAAGCTGAAGTATTGTCAAGATAACTACTGTTAGAAGCACTGTTTTTGTAGTATCAAAAATGAATAAAGGTTTGGTGTTGCATTGAGTAAACATGATTTTTTAAATTCAATTTAGTACATTAAACATGCATGCAGATAGATGTCAAACCTGCATGAGAGTATTTAAGTTAAATTTGGAGTTGCCATATAGAAATCAAATCTGGTTTCAAATGTGTCTTATTTCTATTTCTCAGCATTATATAAGGAAACGAAAGGATATTGAAAATCAGATTTGTTTTAAGTATTTGCTTAGTAACCAGCTGGTTTACCCCATTCAAAATAGCTACCAGGCAGAATTTTGTGGCTATCCCAGAACTTCCCCAGGAATCCACTCAAGTGGCCTCAGCAGATGGATCAAACAAATGACAGATAGTTCGCTGATAATCAAAGCAGCATTACAAGATGCCAGGGAAGACTACAAAAAACATGCAGATCGCAAGCGCTCCCCTGAAAAAGAATGGAAAGCAGGAGACGAAGTATACTTATTGACCTCAATTGTACCTCAGAACGCTACAACCATCGAAGAAATTGGGACCCAAATTTATTGGACCTTTTGCAATAGAAAAATCATTAACCCTGTTACAGTTCGGCTACAGTTACCTAAAAATCGTAAGAGGATTCACCCAGTATTCCATTGTAGTCTTTTAAAACCTTACAGAGAATCCTCAGAGCGGCATGCAGAACAGCCACCACCAAATTCTATGATGATTGAGGGCGAACAGCATTTCGAAGTAAAAGAAGTTTCTATGCTAGAAAACACAGAGGAGAAGTACAGTTCCTCATTCAATGGAAACATTTTCCCAAGTCTCAATGCGAGTGGGTCGCGAAGAAACGTGTGAGCGCCACAGTTGATTAAGGACTTCTACAAAAAAAATACCCCAACAAGCCAAAATAAATTCATTCATGTTGTAAAAACGTATATATGTTTTAGTTCTCTCTCTAATCCCTCTACAGGTTTCTGTCCACGAAGACCAAAACTGATCCTTCTTTCCAGAGGGGCGGCATGTCAGAATCTTGTAATCTTCCATTAGTTCCCTTGCTTCATTTCTGCCATCTCAGTGGCTAGGGGGGAGGAATGGAATGTGAACTGTTAAGTGCAGGTGGGTTGTTATCTGGCTCCCGGGACTTCCAAGGTCATACCAACCTGAGAACCTGAGGACTTTGTCAACATGCAGAGAAGAGATTCACAGACGGGGGCTGGTAAAAGTGGGAGTAAAGTAAAAATTAAGTTTGGCACGCGCGGGACTCAGTTCCAGCTATGCCTTAGAACTGTGCACTACTTTCCAATAAATGAATTTCTCTTTGAGCCTACATTGGTTTCAAAGGGAGCTGCTTTCATTGGGAACTGAGTACCGCGGTTCTTACAGCTGGTTTACCAGCTACTTAAAGAAACCACAATGAAAATAATACTGTACAAAGTCAGACAAAAAAAACCCTCAGCACTTCAAAGCTATCAGTTTAATCTCTAAAAGCCTGAATAGTTTTTCATACAAAATACTGAAGAACAAGCTAGCCAACTACATTTTAGCTAGTATGTTCTGTTAACAGCCCATGTTGTTAAGTTTATGATTCAATGTGTTATGTGAACTCAGAAAACTAGGCTGAGTAAACTATACCTAAATTAACCACAGGTACATAAGAAAGCCTTCTTCTATTGCTGAAAATAAAGGAGACATCCTTGAGGAAGGGAGTTTTAAAAGAAGAACCACCACAAAAGATCCTCTCTTCAAGTTGCCCACCCCATCATAGAGGCAAGAGACGTACTTGCTGATCTAAATACAGGGACAGGTTGATGTGGAAATTGCTTCTCTGGATACTCAGATTTAAAGTTATATACAGCATATATATGAAAAGATTTTTAAAATTGTTTTCCATGAATACCAGTTTAAGTTTTCTTATGCCATCTGATACAAGATTTAGACTTCTGATTCCCAGAGGAAGGAGCACTGAGAATTCTCAAGCATGTAAAGATCCTGATGAAGAAAATGTGTGTGATCTTTTAAAGTTCTGTAGCTCTGATACAGTTCCTCCTGTTTGTTGAAAAAGGAATAAGTAAAATTCAGGTTCTGCATATGTGCTAGAATCTCCTTGTCTATGACATTTAGTAAGCCCTCCAGCTATTGGGCTTTAAGTTCCATAATACCTTATCATTGTGCATGTTTGCTAGAGCTTAAGGAGTTACAATCCAATCATCTGAAAGGTTTTTGGATTGCTTACTCCTGGTTTAGGCTGTACTCCTCCAGGCTGGAGGTGGCTTACTGTTGCTTCTTCCAAGAATTCCTGGTGGACTCTTATCCATGTCCTAAGCAGATCTGACTCTTTAGGTTTTTAAGATAGCCAACTATATTTTAGCTAGCATGTTGTACCAGTCCAAGCTGTGTAGTTCAATGTATTGTGCAAACCATTGTGCAAATATTGACAATATCCATGTTATAGGAATATCAATGCTACCCAATCCCCAGCATTGATCCAAACACAATCCAAGGAACAAGGAATTTGGACAGATCATGAATGCTTGACACTGCATCAGAACTGGTCATCAGCCAGAACTAGCTCATTAATCAAAGCCTGAATGTTATGTCATACTAATCTGAAAAAATTATTTAACAAGTAGGAGCATATCGCCATTTTATACTGTTGCATTTGTAATTTAGGATTGAAGTTTACCAGGTCCTGTAGACCTAACAGTTCCAATAAAAGAGAACCCCAAGCTCAGAAAACCCCAAGGATTCCACCTAGCAGTTTAGCAGACATAACTCAGAACTTGAAAATGGACTGCATTTCTACAACATGGGAACACGGGCTGCTGTTAGGATGCTATAATGATGTGGAATGGGATTCTTCACTGCAGTCTTTCCTTCATCATCTATCTGTTCCTTAATCCTATTCCGCCACCCCAGTCCCAGCTGGGGGATTCTGGGAGTTGAAGTCCACATGTCTTAAAGTTGCCAAGTTTGAGAAACACTGACCTAAACAAAACTAAATCCTAAATTCCTTCCTATTTTGTCCAGGTTTTTATATGGTTTAAAAGCATACAAAATGTATGTACAAAAATTTTGAGCACGGTAGATTTTGTACATTCTGTTCATATTTTATTATATGAGTAAGAAAGATTTGATCCACAGTTGTGAGGCTAAAGGAGTCTGCCTCTGGAAGATTTAAAGACATCCACCACTTCAACCATCAATCTCAGATAGGTATCTTCTAATCTCCCTCTCGAAATCTGGATCTACAGTAAAGTTAAATCTTTCTGCCTTTTAAAAAAAAAAGAGAGAAATTGGTCAGACATTGGCCATGTTCACTCAACATGTTTAGTTCTAAACATTCAATGAGGACTAATTTTCAACCCCCCAATTCTAGTTAACAGCCATTTTGGTTACAAAATGTTGCTGATACTACTTTTTTATACTTTTGTCTTAAAAGGGGCTAATAAGGATCCAAGCTTCCTCCTGCACTTTGTGTGCTGTTTAACTCTTGAGAGCTAAAAATAGGCAGAAGAGTGGAAGCAGCCAACATTTGAAACAAGTGTTCAGTTGGGTTTCGGCTTGGCATGTCATCAGAATGCAGGCAACCCTGATTTAGTTTAGCTTAAGCAAACTTCACTGTAGTGTCGTGTGTGAATCAAATAGCTGTGACTCCCTTTTTGCCACTGCTGGCAGGAAATTTCCAGTCTTTGTATCTGGAGTTTGGAAATGAGAGGTGATGGAAGACAAGGTTATCTTAAGCCAACTTTTTTCAAACCTTGATTACAAACTGCAGTTAAGGATTCAGTTGACACTGTAGAGTCCCCCCCAAATTGGCTTGCATGACATACAAACCAGGCCATTGCATTACTTTGCAGTTTTCTGCTGCCAGACTTTCAAATGAGTTGGCAACCAGTAAGAGGTACAAATTCTTAATAAGGGAGCAGAGACTCAGAGCAACTTGGTGTCCTCAGGCAGTTTCTGTAGCCTGAGATGATGGGAGTTGCATCAGTACATTTGGAGGATACCACATTGGTGGAAGCCACTCAGAACAGCTAGGTGGAAAAGGAGGAGAACTTTGGAGTCCTTGCTGCTCTCTGAGCTTGGTTGTTTTCTTGCAAACATTTAATTAACTATATAACATCATTGGTGCTAGTGAGTGTGGGGTTATGGACCCAAAATACACAAGCCCGACATACCTCTCCAACCAATTGTATCATTACCAGGGACCCCAACATACAACATAGCAAAAGAACTGACAAAAAAGCTTGGACATCTCACAGAAAGGAGCAAATATTCTATCAACTTCCCACTACAGTGCCTCCAGAAAATCAAAGATGTACAAATAGATGAAGATGAAATTATAGTCCTACTTGATGTCACAGCACTCTTTACATCCATAAACCCAGAACCAGCAAAAGAATCCATGTCAGCAGTACTACACAACACACCTGACCTAACCAAATACACCAAGATCGAAATACCCAAAATCATGGACCTCATTAACCTCTGCCTCACTACCTGTCCAGTTTGATGGACAAATATACCAACAAATCAGAGGCACACCCATGGGATCACCATTCTCAGGAGTCATAGCAGAGATTGTAATGCAGCATCTAGAAACTATAGCACTTCCATGTATACAACCAAAAGTATGGATCCAGTATGTAGATGACACCTTTGTCATAAAAAAGGAACAACTAGAGAAGACACATGAAACCATCAACAACATCTTCAGAGGAATAAAATTCACAGGAGAAGAAGAAAAAACTATAGCACTTCCATGTATACAACCAAAAGTATGGATCCAGTATGTAGATGACACCTTTGTCATAAAAAAGGAACAACTAGAGAAGACACATGAAACCATCAACAACATCTTCAGAGGAATAAAATTCACAGGAGAAGAAGAAAACAACAACACACTACCCTTCCTGGATATCAACATTAGCAGGGGAAATGAGGGCAAATTAGAAACTCAAGTCTGTTGGAAAACAACCCACACTAGCCAAGTACTCCATTACCAAAGTAACAACCCAACCTCCCACAAGAGGAGCTGTGTAAGCACATTATTCAAATGAGCACAAACACACTGCAGCAACCTAGAATAGCAGAAAAAGGAAACAGACCACATATACAACAACTTCTAACAAAATGGATATCCACGCAACTTTATCAAAAAATGCCTGACCACTCAACCTACTACACACCCAACACAAGCTATGAAAAGGATAACACTGCATCAGAAACATCTCAGAAACAACCAACAGACTGTTACAACCACATGGCATCTCCATAGCACACAAACCAACTAAAGCCCTCC